TTAGCCACCATGGTTGTTGCTGCCATTAGGGCTTGAGGAATAAGAGCTTTCCAGTACCGGGATTTCGATAATACGAAGCCCCCCAGAGTTTGATAGGGTCTCGGACACGATTGTGGCGATGCAATGGTTATCTGATGTAGAGGGTTGGATTCTTCATGATCTTTATTGCAACAACAATTTCTGCATCCAAATCCTCAAATCAACAATATGCTACCTGGTTGTCCTTTGATTTTAAAAAAGTCAAAACCAAAAGAAGGGTAGTTTCAGTTTGATATAATTTAAGCAGGGTTACAAACATACCTGTCCACATCAGTGTTTGTAATAAAAACTGATATTTAAACATAGTTCGACCTAATCATAGATCATGATATCTGAACAAAAACAAAAATGATGTACAACTACCCATTGAGCTTAGCAGGTATCGATGAAGTTGATTTTTAACAAAAAAGTAGTATGTATGAACCTTACGTTGTATAAGGCTTCAAACAGAACATAGCATACTTCTAGATCAGATAGAAGGTAGAAGAAGTAGATGAGAGGAATTCAGCTATGCAACTGAGAGAACAGAGCAAAAACCTATAAACAGTAGAACATAAGAAGTCAGAAAGACATAAACGTATACAAACTCATGAAATCCATATACATAATTTCCTAAAAGGTGAAACTCAATTTCACATCGATGGAATGCCCCTATGATTTTTCAAAATTTCCTTAAAAGCCATTGGTTAGTGCATGTTTTCTTACAGAAAACACTTGGACTGCGTTGCTCTGCCAATGATAGGAAAACACTTACAACTTCATATGAAACCTTCACCCACTGAGTTGAACATAAAATTAAGATGACATAACAATCAGACTAAAGCTAAACATAAGAGATTTAAAAAAAAGACCAATACTCAGAATTAGAAGATGCTTCATATATCTATTAAAATCAGGTTAAATTTACATAGAACATGAGAAGAAATTTATCGGTCCTTATATATCATATTATCAATCAAATAAAAAAAGCTTTTAGTGAGTATCACCTGCGGCACACATTCATACATACACCGCCGTCAGTTCATGTGGTGCTAGAAAAGAGAAGGCGACTCCTCCCTCCCGAGTGGCACATAGCCTTAGAGGCACCAAGCATAGAGAAGCGAAGAAGCAGTGGAGAAGCATCAGAGAAGAAGTCGATGACGGTATCCATGGATGCGTTCCAGAGAGACGCAGTTGTATATGCGGGGTGAGAGAGACGAGCTTCATCTGATTGGGAGATTACAAAATCAATGTGATAAGATAAGGATCAAGGTCGGCGAGTAACAGAGGTAGTAACCGATAAACAAAAGCGTGCTAATTGTGTTAAAGTTGCCAACAAATTGTGGCGAAAATCAAATTTGCAAAACGTTCCTGTTTACCAACGAAAAACAAATAAGGAACGGAAGCTAAAGACTGGTGAAATTGCGAATCCAAGGTAATTTGGTGGCGAAAATGTGAATGTACAAAATTTACTATTTACGAACTCGTATGTGAATTTATATATATATATATATATATATATATATATATATATATATATATATATATATATATATATATATATATATATATATAGGGTGAGATCGGTTGAGAACTCATAGTTTCCCGAGAACCCGAGAACTAAAGGTGGAGCGTTAGATCAAAATTAACTCATTAAGGACATGATCGTCATCTTACCAATCCCATTTAACTTTTAGTATTATTGAAATTATTAATAAAAAGCTCTCAAATTAACATTATAAATCAAATTTTCGGAATTTTTTATAAAAATATAATTTTCGTTTTTTAAAAAAATTTGCAGATTTTTTTTAATTTTTTCATAAAACATAAATTTTTAAAAAAGTTGAAAAAAACATTTTTTATAAAAACTGCATTTTTTTAAGAAAACAATCAATTTTATAAACTTAGTAAATTTAAAAAAAAAACTGGAAGATACAAAAAAAACTATAATTTTTTTAACCAAAAAATCAACGTTTTAGGAGCATATATGCATATTTTTTCAAGTGTATGTATACATATTTCTTATACTATAATATTCGTAAATAAATCAATAAAAAACACATTTTTACTTAGTAATCTATAACACAATAGTACATGTATTTTATTCGATACAAAATAAAATATAAAAAAGTAAAAATGCTATAAATTTCAAATCGCTTTCATTCCTTCAATTAATCACTTTTCACCTCTTCGATATTTTCCCAAAATTCTTACAAATCTACAAGAAAATAAAAAAAAAATTGATTAATGCTAGAACATTCACAAAAATACATATGTATAAATCATGTAAGATTCACTTGTGATTATATCTTTAAGATTCAAACATGAAACTTACAAGAATTTTTTTTTAAAAATAATTAACGAAGAACGCTTACACTAAATGCATGTGTACATTTAGACGTAATTTATATGTGATTTACATGTAAATCACATGTAATTCGTATGTGATTCACTTATGATTTACATGTGAATTACATGTGAGTTACATGTGATTTAAATGTAAATCTCATGTGATTCATATGTGAATTACATGTGATTTACATGTGAATCACATGTAATTCATATGTGAATCACTTGTGATTTACATGTGAATTACATGTGATTCATATGTGATTCACATGTGATTCATATGTGATTCACATGTGAATACCATGTGATTCATATGTAAATTACACGTGATTTACATGTGAATCGCATGTAATTCATATGTGAGTTACATGCGATTTACATGTGTATCCAATGTGATTGATATGTGAATTACATGTGATTTACATGTGAATCACATGTAATTCATATGTGATTCACTTGTGATTTACATGTGATTTATATGTGAGTTACATGTGATTTACATGTGAATCCCATGTGATTCATATGTGAATTACATGTGAATCACATGTAATCCATATGTGATTCACTTATGATTTACATGTGATTCATATGTGAATTACATGTGAATCACATACGTAATTCATATGTGATTCACTTGTGATATACATGTGAATCACATGCAAATCATATATGATTCACTTGCGATTTAGATGTGACTTACATGTGATTCACTTGTGATTTACATGTGAATTTCATGTGATTCATATGTGAATTCCATGTGAATCACATATAATTCCTATGTGAATCACATGTAATTCTAATGTGATTCATTTGTAATTTACATATTAATCACATATAATTCAAATGCTCAAAAGTTGTGATGTTGTGAACAAAAAGAATTCAAGTTAACCATTATACATAACGGAGAAGTGGTAAATCTTTATGATCTAACAAATACCTGAAAACGATCATGTGAGATGAGGATATCAAATCATCACAACCATAAAGAACACCCCGAGGAATTGCACTTTATATGATATTTATAAAAAATATGTACTTTTTGCAAGAGAGAGAGAGAGAGGGAGAGAGAGAGAATGAATAAAACTTACTAATTACAAAAACTTCAAGAAGATAATCCGGACGAGGCAGTGTTGCAAGACGTGAGCCCTGGATTGGTGCAAGAAAATTTCAACCATACAAGTGAAATTAATACTCAATTTGGCTATATTTTTAAATATTTTGATGATAATTATCTAGTAACATATAAAGTAAATAAAATGCTGGTTAAATAATAAACACCTCACGAAAAAGGTAGTTTGGGCCATGCAATATATTAGAGAAAATATAGTAAAATGAATGTACATAATGCCACTAACAACTAGAAACGTGAGGACTCTAACCCAAATTCAAAATGTGTAGATTTTTTGGTTTTGAATATGAAAAGATGGAAAGTCCACTAAAGAAAAGTCAAACAGTACAAAATATGGGGACAAAATGTACATAACAATCATAAATGTAATTTACAGTTGTAGAAACTGATTATTATTACCTTGTTGGCCTTCTCTAACGGTAATGTGCAAAGGATCAAAACCGGATATGTTCTTCAAAAAAGTCCTTTAGTTGTGTAAGGAAAAAGTCCTTTCACAACTTCAACATACCCTATTTCTGCAATTGTAAATAAAGTTGTTTCTCCAAGCTCATTCACCTCATTCACAACCGAAGCTCTGATCTCAACCACCTAGCATCAAACTCTGCACCTTTCATAGTCCTCAACATTTAGTCATTAATTTCATCAAGAATCTGTTTCACTTCCATAACATCACCACGTTTTGCAGCTAGTATTTGATGATGAATATGATAACTTACAAAATAAATCATAAGAGGTATGGCACCAAGTAAACACAACATAACATGACTCAATAATATTTTCTACCGAGGAATAAGATGTAGACATTAATTTAGCACCAATCAAAAATAGATGAATTAACTAAAATCCGATTTGAAACAGAAAAGTTGAAATCATATATAAATTAAAGATAAACTCTTACATACATTCAATGTGGAGGAAGGAGATGAAGGTGGTCAAAAAAACCGAATCGATGTGAGAGAGAGAGGGGGGGGGGGGGGGGGGGGGGGAGTCCATTAACAATTACGGATCTGGTGAATCAAATATGTGAGATAGATAGTTGTTCTCATCGACTTCGATTTTCATCAGGTCAACACAAATGGATTGTAGCGCTTCTGTCGTAGCATCACCGCATTCACCACCAATAGTTGTTGTTAATGTAAAAAACACGATCGGGCTGGATCATCGCAACAACGACATCGATCAGCATGTAATTCAGGACTCATTGCAGATTCTGTAGATCCATAGGGATCATTTTGATATCTTTCTCGAAAACAACTAAATGCGATTCAAAGAAGAAGAACAAACTATCTGAAACACGAATGATAAACTCATGAACAAATCTTGAACCCGAGCCCGAGGAATCTCTTGAGATAATGTCTTCGGACCTTTGGATCTGAACACAACGACAATGTAGAGATACAAGACACAAGATCTCAAGGGAGGAGCTTATCAAACTACAATCGCTCGAAAACTTCGAGTAGAGGAAACTTTACATCCCTAACACGAAGGATCTGAAAACAAACCAATGAATGAGGCAGACGAAACCCTAAACGGTGTGGATTGGCAGTTGACAGTGGAAGAGGTGGCCGATGAAGGGAGGACGGAAGCGATCGATGGAGGAGGGAGGAGAGAGGCAGTGTTAGAGGGTGTTTGGGTTAACTTTTAAAATGACTTTTGACTTTTATCTTTTAGAAAAAGTCAAAAAGATGTTTGGTTAAGTGAAAAGGACTTTTGTAAATGACTTTTCCAATAGAGTAAATTGAGCCTTTTTGAAAAGTCACGATTACGTGACTTTTTCCAACTTTTCAACAGCTAAAAATAATAAATTACCAATATACCGCCCATCTACCCTAATTAATTCTTCATTCACAGCATATTCCCCACTCTCTCGTTCTCTCCGTCACTTTCTACTCTCTCACATCTCGATCGTTCCTGCAGCACCGGCGACCTGTAACACCGACGACATGCAACATTGCAACACCGACGTCTTCTTTCTGCATCTCCGATCATGTTTGTTTTCTTTCCGGTCGATTTCCGATCTCCGATTTTACAAAATCTTCCTGTCTATTTCCGATTTTCAGTAGCAAAGAAATGTAGTTTTTGAATTTTCCTTGAACTGTTCTATGATTTCTTCCTCCCGATTTCTGAAATCGATATGCTGTGATTTGTTCCTCCCGATTTCTAAAATTGATATGCTGTGAAATAGTGATTATTCTGTGAAATAGTGATTATTTTGTGAACTTGATGAAATATGGATTAATAATTAGTGAAATTGATGAAATATAAAGCTGATGAAATTTTTTGTTCAGGGATGATATTTGTGTTAACAGGTAACCGATTTGTGAAATTGATATTCTGTGATATTCTATTTTTTCTGTTTTGATTAGAATTTTGATAAATTAATGAAATCATTTAGGAAGGTTAATGAAATTGGTTTGTTGTTTAAATGTTGATACTATATGTAATTCACAGATAATGGATGAAAACAACACTACAATTGTTGATTGTGAAACATCTTTAAAAATGAAAAAACCAAAATTTGGGTGGGATAATCGTAGCTTCATGGTGTTTGTTGATTCGTGCTTGATTGAACAAAAAAAGGCCATAAACCCCGTACCTCCTTTGATAAAGTTGGGTGGGAAAATATACAAAAACGCATTAAGGAGAAAACAGGTTACAGCCTTGAAAAAAAAACAACTAACAAACAAATGGGAGAACAGGAAAAAAGAGTGGAAGCTTTATGACCGCTTAATGAGGCTTGAAACTGGACTCGGTGGGACGAGAAGCCTAGTAGATGCGTCGCCTGAGTGGTGGGAGGAGAAAATAAAGGTATGATTTCTATTCTTTTTAATTATTTTAAGTTGTGATTGCATATAGATTGAACATATTTGATTTACAATATCTTTTTGTCTTGCAAGAAATATTTTAAAAGAAATTTATATTTTATATTTTCTAATAAAATGTTTACAAAATTATAATATGTGTTTAAAAAAAATTAAGTATAAAATAATATATGTAAAGTAGTAAATCAATGTAAATATGTAAACATGTCATTTTTAGTCATTTTACATGTAAAAAGTTAAACCAAACACTTTAACTTTTGACTTTTTTCCCTTCAAAAGCTAATCCAAACACATTTTAAAAAACAACTTTTGTAAAAAGTCATTTTACAAAAATGACTTTTGTCCCACAAAAGCTAAGTCAAACCCTCTTAGAAGGCATGGCAGAAGGTGAAGTGGAGAGATCGCCAAAGATTTGCAGCTACGACATTGATTTTTAAGAGAGAGAATTTAGGGAATGAATTATTTAGATGCCAATAACACCCCTGAGTTAAAAAAAAATTAGATACCCCGTCTCTTTTTTTTCCGGTTATTTACAAAACTGGCACAAAAAATCACTCCCCTCCATATTTTTTTATCTAATGGTCTAAATTTAGTTCTCGGATTCTTGTGAAAATATAAGTCCTCAAATGATCTTTCCTTTCTCTCTCTCTCTCTCTCTCTCTCTCTATATATATATATATATATATATATAGATATATATATATATATATATATATATATATATATATATATATATATATATACATTGGAAACATTTATAAACTTTGAAATATAACAATGTGATTAAATAAACTCTAAATATCTATAACTTCAATTTGCAACAAATTAAATAAACTAGATAAATACAAATTCAAATTAATTCAGATTTGAATAATCAAATATATAAATGGTTTGCGTATACACTCCAAATCCGTATCGCAGCCTCAATCCAGCAATTCACAGTCGAAGACGGTTCAGGATTTGGGAAGTGCAAGGGCCGACCATTCTGTATTTTACGAAGACGACGGGACAATGAACAGTGCAAAGAGAGCGATTCCGGTGGTGCTCACCGATCCTCACAACATGTGCTGCCCAATCTGTTTCCACCCCTTGTGCTCCCCAATCTACCAGGTAATTCCCCTGTTTAAATGCTTTTTTATACAATGTCTGCTATATTCTCTTGCATCTCAATACAAAAAGATTTATATCATCGTAGCGTGGGCAAGGGCACATAGCATGCTCCTCTTGCTGCGTCAAAGAAAAGAGAAAATGTCCTTCGTGCCACTTGCCAATTGGTTTCACCCGATGTCAAGCTATGGAGAAGCTAGTTGAATCTCTCAGAGTCGACTGCAAAAACAAGTGGGTTGGATGCAAAGAGACATTAATTTACCATAAGAAATCCGAGCATGAAAAGAAATGTCCCAACACTCCATGTGTCTGTCCTCTTTCCTCGTGCAAGTTTACCAGTTCCTCCAACATCATGTACGGCCATTTCAGATTCCACCATAAAGCTTATGCTACTTCATTCACCTACGACAACATCTTCCTTCTTGGTGTCCAGAGAAACCAGAAGCACATAATTCTTCAAGAACAGAATGAAGGGGTCATCTTCATCCTCAACCATGGCATTCATAAACATGGAAGAGTTTTCGATGTTGATTGCGTAGGACCAAGTACATTTGATGATGCTTTTGTGTATCAGCTGACTGTAAAATACAACAAGACAGTTTTGTCAATAGAATCTATACCGGAGGTCTACTCAAAGTGGCAGCAACATGCTCCCTATAACAACTGTCTGACAATCCCCTCTGGTTTCTCGGAAGTCTTCTTACAAGTTTGCATAAAGAAAGCCCATCCTGTGGTTTATGTCATAGTAGCTAGGAATACTTTATGGTCTATAGCAATGCTTATAAGATGGACTAGGGTGCATTAATTTTGATGCAATTTTAGTAGGATAAAATATTGATGTAAGTTTGTTAATTAAATACAGACCTGGTTTTAAGTTTGTTCCACGTAACACTAGGTTAGGCACATCAAACTTTTTTGAGGTTATATCACTAAGTTTGGTTTTTTTTTTATCCCTTTTGATTATGTGAAGGTAGCATAAAATATAACTTGTTTGCCTCTTTGACATTTGTTATGTTAGAAAGTAATAGGTTGACCAACTTATGGTTGGAATGAATTTCAAATATAAATGCATCATACACATTCCTAGATTCAAAGAGATTAAATGGCTATTTGATAGTTGATGATTGAATCAGATCTGATTGATTAAGACTCAAAGTGAGAGGAAGAGGCATTCCTGAGGAGCTTGGACAAGAGACTTCAAACTAACTGTGGTATTAAAATGTTTGGTCTGACGGCTACCCCGTAAGAGACATATCAAACTAGGGATGTAAATCGGTCCGGAACCGACCCGAACCGGAACGAAACGGGAAACCAATAAAGGAGTGAACGGGGAACCGAGAACCAGACCGAATACCACTAACCGGTTCCAGTTCGGTTCTACTAGAAAGTGTGCTATCTAAAAATGTGTTTGGAACCCCTAACATGATGCACCGGGGAACAGACCGAATACCACTAATCGGTTTCAACCAGTTCTGGTTCGGTTTTTCGGGTAGAAAGCTCATCCCCATATCAAACAACACCTAAGACAAACTAAGATAAAAGTTATACAATGCAATAGATTAATAAAAAGCTAGAGCTATAACAGAGTCAGGATAATAATGTCCATATTAAACATTAAGACCTCCTAGTCTCATTTTGGTCCGAGATTAATGTGATATTAGCAAAAGAATTAGCATTAAGCATTACAAAACAAGCAAAAATATGCATTAGCAATGTGTAGTCTGATCCAAATTAGTCATTGAGTAGTCCAATTGGGTCTTGTACTTAACAATGTTTAGGCTCTCCAGTCTAGTTTAGATTAACAAACATTAAGCATATTAACATTAAACATTAACAAACATTAAGCATTAAGAAACTTTAAGAAATCATAACTTGTGGTCTTTCGTACTCATTTGAAGCCTTTGCATTCACCCCTTAAGCTGCACTGATTCAAACATAACTTTCCTACATATATTTAATAGACAATTGTTTTCCCTTGAATGATTCTCAATTCATAAGGTAAATATATAGCAGAACAATACATATAGTGGGCCATAATACAATAAGGCCGAATATATATTAAGGGTAATACAATAATACATGTGCTAATATGCCCTCACAATTTGAGGGGGGAGGGGTTCTTGAATGCTCAAACTAGAGCGAAACTCGGAAAAGAGAGGGAATGACAAGCCTTTAGGAAGGAACATGCAACACTCTATGTGACCAATGGCGAATTTTTCCCTAACAAAGTGAATATCAAGCTCGATGTGCTTGGTTCGCTAGTGCCAAACCGGGTTTGCAGACATATAAATGGCGCTGATATTGTTGCAATAGACAAGGGTAGCAGAGCGTAGAGGAGTGTGAAGTTCGTGAAGAAGATTACACAACCAACCTGTTTCCGCAACAGCATTGGCAAGTCCCCGGTATTCCGCTTATGCACTTGAGCGTGAAACTGTATGTTATCTTTTGGATGACCAGGATACCATATTATCACCAAAGAAAAACGCAGTATCCGGAGGTTGAACGACAAGTGGTGAAACATTACCCCCTCCCCCCAAGTAAGCTGTAAGAGATGTAACAGGAGAAGCGTAGAGTTATAAGGTGTGGTCTAGGGTCGTGCATATAGAAACATATTTGCTGAACAGAAAAAGATATTCAGTCTAGTAAATGTGAGATAATGGAGTGCCCCTGTAAGACTAAGGTATAAGGATGGATCTGAAATTGGAGGGCTGGTACACTACTAGAAACATGGGTTTTAGCAACGGATGAATCCGTCGCTATTCCGTCACGAGAGGTCTTTTGCGACGGATCTGTGACAGACTTACTCCATTGACAAATAAAATGTGGCTAATGGCTTAGCGAGGGATTTAGCGATGGAGTTGATTTTCCTTGCAACGAATTTAGCGACGGAATATCCATCGCACATTGCTCCCTTAATACCGTTATTTTAGGACATCAGCCACAAAACAAAATAAATATTCCGTCGCTAATCCCTTGCAAACCTCTATATCTGTCTTTTTATATACTGTCGCTAATCCCTAGCAAGCCTCTACATCTGTCTTTTTATATTTCGTCGCTAATCCCTAACAAATTTTAGATGTTATTTTTTTTTGTTTCCGTCGTTGATCCCTAGCAAAATTTAGATGTGATTTTTTTTGTTTCCGTCGCTGATCCCTTGCAAATATATAATATTAATTTTTTATTACAAATCTAAAACAAAAAAAATACTAAAAACATCAAATAATTATACAATTCCAAACTAAACAATAATAAAATACCAAAAACATCACATAATTATACAATCCAAAACCAAACACTAAAATTAAAATACCAAAACCAACTATCAAATTTTAACAAAACATCTAAAAACATCAAATATCAATGTTTACCAAAAGGATCAAAATCATCAAATATCAAAGTTTAATACTGATTGATATTTTATTTCCATGTATAATGTACCATAATCTCAATTTCATCTCATATTTTGCATTTCTACATACATCTTGCATCCGAAAGAAGGATCAATAATGGAATTGGATTCTGATTCCCGTTAAATCCCATGGAATTAGGCTAACAAAGTTCTACTTACTTTATCCTGCAATGGAAGGTGACATGGTGTTTGTTGGAAGCTAAACTAAATGCAGGACTAGAATGGAATTGGATTCCGATTCCGACCAAAAAATATATGAAAAAACATGTTGGTAAAAGAAAATACCGTGTTTGCATATTGGTCTTCAGAAATTTCTCTTTTGGGGTTTTATCTTTGAACATTTGTATTGAACATTTTGGGCCATCTACCACACCAAAACTAATAGCACAGTAAGCATTTATAAAGATGGATGCATAATTTTAAATTAGGAAGAAAATTATAGAACTAACCTTTCATGGTCTCTAGTGCCATTGGCCCTTTTTTGATCGCATGCAACCAACCTTATCAATAACTCTGGAAATCAAATGCTGAAAATTTTGAAAGTGAAAGTAGTAAACATAACAATTTACCTTAGTATCTTTTGTGTAAAATCGTTTTCAGGATTCGCACAGCTTGTCCATCTTTCTTTCCATAGTTGCAGATTTCCTATCATTCTACCCAAAAAAAATATTATCAACAAGATACAAGTGGTAATATATATATATATATATATATATATATATATATTGAATGAGAATGTACATAACAGACTCAAGAGCCCCTGAACATGAATTTAGTCATGTAAGAATAAACAAGGGTATAATTGTCTTTTGCAAAGTATTAGTTAGAATGACTTCAAGGACATTCAATAGGAAAGACTGAGGGCTGCTTATTAAGAATAAAACTAAACTTTCATGTGATATGGAAGATGGACACAAATTGAGAGGTTTTGGTTTAAAAGAATGTAAAATAAAGCTAAAGTCTTTTATTGGACTATTTTACCGCTCCTAGTCCTACCAATAGCATGTGCATGGTACATGACTAAGGTTCCGTTTCTTTTAATTCACTCTTAAAGATTAGATTTTAAACTTACCATTTCATGAATGGATTTCAAAGAAAAACATATAAAAAAATTAGAATGATGAATAATACTTAATAATTTATGAGTTGTAATAGGTAGAAAGAAAAAAAGAACCTTGAGATTTGTGCTAACAGCAACCATATGCTTTGAAACAGCTTGTGGCCTTAAACAACAAAGAAAATGCAACAAAGTTATGTAAGAGAACATAAAGAGTAAGGGTATAATAGGAAGAAAAAAATGGTTTAGTTACCCTAAAGTAGATGAGATCCATTCCATGAATGTCCTTGCATTCAGCATAGTCTCAGCTGTAGTAAAAGTCTTGGAGACTACAACAACTGCTGTGGTAGAAGAAAATAACATTAATTATGTAAAAAAATGTTGTTTGAAATAAAATGAATTACAAAGGAAAATATGAACCTAAAGTTGTCTCGGGATCCAAGCCTATAATATTTCTTGCAACATCAACTGGATCAACATTTTGCAAGACTGAAGAAAATACACAGATTGGAGGTTAAAAAAAACAAGATATGGTAAAATCATTGCCTAATTACAAGCATCTCAATCATAAATTTATAACAAATTTCATGATTTTGTAAGGCTTTATGAACTTTAATACAAAATATGTATACTTACAAGCGAAGTTGGCGTCCTCCAGCTGATTTACTAGCTTCTGGATCTGTAAGTTATCAAAAGAAATTATGATAATAAGATTATTTTATTTTATTTTATAATGAAACAATACAAAAAGAAGATTAATTAAGAATAAGAACATGGAGTTGAAGAAACTAACTAGTTTGAAGAGCAGTGTGCACAAACAATGGACCAAGAAAGCTTCCACCAATACCAATAACAATCATATTTGTAATTAATAAATAAAGATTAGTATTTAAGATGGATGTTTATTTTTGAGAAATCTATGATTTTTCCTTCCGATTCATAATATGAGGTGATACGTATAAAGAGAACAACTATTATATTAGCATCAAGAATATAATGAATTTAGAAATAGGAATCCAGTTCATTTATTTCTTTACACATTTTAAATTATAGATATAAAAAAAACATCAAAAAATGTGTGAACTTACGATATGAGGCAGTCAAATGATTCAGCAGTCCACATGGAGCGCCATCTGGCGTGTCATGCATACAAAACCCCATGACCTGTACATAAGTAGAGAAAAAGGATCATACAGAGAAAGTAAGAAATAAAAACATATATAAAGAAAATAAAAAAGATTTAGATTTAAATTACATACTCTGGCAACAATTTGCGCACACTTGTAGTACGAAGTCATGCAAGTGAAGAACCTCTATGAACAACTCTAAAATGTGATAAAAATCTGAGAAAATTAAGCCTTTCTGCTTGAACTGTCATACCAGCTTTCTAGCAAACAAATGTGATTACCCAAAGTTAAATTTTTTAAACAATTTCTACAAGATTTATTAAAGAAATGAGTACCTCTTTCAGATCAAGAGTCAACTGATTGGTTACCAATCTTCCGGTCTTCAACATATTTTCAACGGCTGAACCGACTTGTTTTGCAGGATTCTTATCAAATGCCTTCTTCACATCATCTACTGAAATAATTAAACCCAAAAAAACAAAAACAAGAATTTAGATCAACAATGTTTTAACATCTAGAGTTTGAGTAAGTTATAGAGTGACATGGAATGGAACATACAACTTCCAAACTGAAAGTTTTTCTTTCTATTATCAGCTTCATCTTGAAGTAGTTTTTTAGATTTTAGCAGCCATTCCTGAAGCTTTTCCTGAAAATGAGCAGGAAAAGATTGTCTACTCTTCCATATTTTCATAATGTATGTATGCTTAAATAAATGTAGTTGATTTTTACCTTAACATATATTGTAACCAAGTGACCTGGCAGAAGAACTTCCTGAGGTCTGATCAATAAAAGAGAAAAGCTTCTGCACCATGAAGCTGGAAACCAAATATATATATATATATATATATATATATATATATATATATGTCAGCACTTTCAAAACAAAGAAATCCAAAATTCTCACCATATAAAGTGAATAATCTATAAAATGAGAATGGCTCACAAAACGAAAGAAGTTTTAAAAAAAAAAGCTTAAAAAAGAGAAAGTAAGATTGCAAAACTGATAAAAGATGTAAAGATTTATATACACTTACAGCAGAGTGACTTTTGTTTTCCATACCATCCATACAAGGTTTGAAATACTCTCCTAAATAAAAATGAGAAAAGAAGAGTGGAGTTTATTTAGTTGATTTTGAGTTGACTATTAAGTAAGAATAGTAAAAAAAAAAAGGGTGATAACAGATTATAATTAATTACCAACATTCTTTCCATCACTGTTTATAGCTGTGTCCTTTGAAGCACGAAGAGCTACATGAAGCACATACCTGTTGTTCTCTGTGTTGTTTATCTGAAGTATCACATTTGTATCAAAAGGGTAAAATAGTCAATCCCCAAGTTACTTCCAAATAAATTTATAGGTTTACTTACATGCTAAAGTCTTTAATTGGACAATTTTACCCCTCCTAGTCCTACCAAAAGCTTAGAGTTGGTAATGATTTTCAATTTGTCATCCTGTGTACCCTAATTTTTTGAAGATGTATTAGCCAATAGTAAGTTGATTTACCTGCAATCGAATGCAAAGAACCAGCGTAAATCAACGGAAATTTGCAGAAGTCCATGCCGGATTCAACAATCCATAAATCAAAAATTAAACTCAACACAATGACCAAACTTAACTCAAAACTAGAGTTTTTCTAAAATTTACGAGTGATTTGGGAAATTGGCTAAGATTAGGATCAAGGTTCGATTTAGGATTAGTAATAGAGAAAAAAAAACTGGAGAAGCGCGTATGGAACTGGTTGTTTGAAATTCATAGCAACCTAACATCGGGGATTGATGTTTGTATCGTTTTTGGAACCTTCAAACATTTTGGAGCTGTCGATTTCAGTTGTTTGCTGCTACCCACCGTTCTTGCTTTTGTTGTGCGTTTTCGATTTCTTTCTTTCGTTGTGCGTTTTCGTTTTAGTAATTTTTGTAATTACTAAAAGTTTTCAAAGTGTTCCGGAACAGAACCGCCGCCGCTACCCTATCAGGTGATTGACACCGCTGGTGATTGGCGCCGCTGTTGCTGCTGAGTAGTTGTACGATCTAAATCAACAGTATATGATGAACCAATAGATCGAAAGGCGTTAGATAGGAATTAAGTGGCAAGTCAACAAGGAAGGGAGACGGACCGAGAGGAAAGCCGACAAGGATGTGATTTCTGATTAGGTTTTCCTTTCATAGGCTTCAAAGAGGAGCGATGCAGATCGACTATGGTGGAGGCGATTTCCGGGGCGGAGGAAAGACTTGATGGTCATTTAGGGCTTTGGGAGGAAATTGTTCGCTTTGTGAAGAATTTAGAGGGAATGAGAATAAAACGAGGGAACAAGAAAAGAAAGAAAAGCGGGGAATGAAAAAAAGAAGGCATAGATCTTCTGCGAGGGTTTGGCGAGGATCAAGAAAAAAAAGGCCTCTAATTTTTGCAATTGGTCGCTGTTCCCTCGCTGGGAGGTTTTACTTCCCGAAGGTTAAGCGAGGGAGGGTTTTTTGTCGATAAAATCTTAGATAATCCGTCGTTGATCCCTCACTAATACCTTTCTAAAATACTATAATTATTTTGATCGAAATATTTGTGGGTTCCGTCGCTGGTCCCTCAGTAAACTGTCACTGATTCCGTCGCAAATTCCGTCACTGTAGGTCAGGTTTCTAGTAGTGGTAGTAGAGGGTTTGGTGGCCATATCAACTGGGGTACGACTGGGATTGCATGTAGACATGTTGGCGCATTGAAGAAGTTTGGTCACATACTTCTTTTGATAAAGGAACATGCCTTGTGAGGAGTGTGTGACGAAAATACCCATAAAATAATTCAATGGCCCATGATCCGTCATGGCAAACTCGAGGCTGAGTTTGGTGATGATGCACTGCAGAAGGCTTGGTGATGACGCAATAAAAATGACGTCATCCACGTATAGCAAAGGTAGCTGTATCGGGACTGTTCTTCAAAACAAATAGAGAGGATTCAATTTTGCTTTGTTGAAAGCCAAGAGTGACTGCATGACTGGCGAAGCGCTGAAACCAGACCCGATGAGCACTTTGATTTTCAAAGATTTCTACACACAATTTAGATAAATATCTGAACACTTTTCCTCAACTTGAAAAATATGACCATTATAAAACACTACTGTTGTACTTAACTATTTGATTTTTTATATCTTTACATTTTCACACACAATTTAGATGAATATCCACACTTTTCTTCAAATTGAAAAATATGACCGTGTACAATGTAACCATTGTAACTTGACAATCTACTTTTTAATATCTTTACATTTACACAAAATCTATTTGAATATCTACCATTTTCCTCAATTTTGAAAAATATGACCGTTATAAAATGTTATTGTTGTAAGTTTGATTGTTTGATTGTCATTATCTTTACATTTACACACACAATTTAGATGAATATCCACACACTTTCCCTCAACTTGAAAAATGACCGTTATAAAATGTTACCGTTGTAACATGACCATTTGATTTTCAATACTCACATTTTTAGCAGCTATTATTTAAAGGAGCATACACAAATGAAACAAAGACAAACATATCCACCCATGTCTCAAAAATCGGAGAAAAAACATAGCAACAAGAACAAATATATTTTCATAGTCATGCTTGGAAATATCAAATCAGATGAAGTTCTTTGCACTATCACGTTAAGTGTTCATAATATTTCAATTCTAAGTTTCCTTTTATGTTATGCAACTTATATGTCTTTAGAAACTAAGCTTTATCGTATATCCAAATAGAAAACTTACTCAAAAATTTTGGCTTCTTATAAAGCATTATCATAATGATTGTAGTTGGTAAACTTCAATCTAATGCATATGCTTAAACATCGATTGAAATTATACTTATTAATGCATATTGCAGGAAATAACAACCTTCTAAACTCTTTCTAACAATATAAGCAATATACTTCATTTTTACCCATACTATGTCACACATTGCACCATTTGCATAGACTGTACAACTTTCCCCAAGGTGGGGCGTTAGTTTGCTTCATTTATGAATACTAAAATATAAATCATTTATGACTACTAAATAAACAGTGCAATGCAGGCTCGACCAATTCTAAGAGATAAGGAGGGTTTTGGAAGAATTTGCGATCCAATTGTAATCAATCCCAGCCAGCCTCCAAGATTCTTGAGCAATAAACGCTCTTCTGAACTGGTCTGTATGAGCTCAGACCTTAAAAGAACCTGTTGCATTCCCAAATAACAAATTACTCCAGGTTTATATATCATATTTAAATCCATCAATGAATAAGGTATAAAAGAATACCTTGGAATTCAGATAGCTTTCTCGAACTATTTCTTCGATGAGCTGTTTTGAATTAGCTTTCTCAAGGAAATTCATAAACAACTTGTGAAAATTTGGTTCTTTGCTCGCTCTGTCAACATGATCAATGAGTCATTCAACAAGTATTCCAATGCTTGTAGAGACAAAGCCTGCATTTTCTCAAACATTGTTTAACACCATAAACAAAAGGTAACTTCCCAATACAAGAAACGACAAGGAACCATAAAACCACAAGTACAGGAAAGGTAACTGCTCGAGATGGAGGTCGAAATTCAGGAGATGAAGCCATCATTGCCGAAGACCTAACTACACTTTGGGGTATCAGATAATATATTTGAAAGCAAAATTCATTTTTCATTGAACTTTTTTGAAGCCAATAAGATCAAACCAGGGCAATAGGTTCAATAAGATCACATTAGTCAATACTCTATAAGATCTAATTAATCGTATTAATCGATACAGAGAAACATGTTCAATAAGATCATATTGTCATGAATGGTAATGTAAATGATGCATTTTCCTTGGGATCATGGGCGGTGTATTGTTCCTGATCCAATTATGTGTACATTAAATGAAACTGGTTATACAGGGAAACAGGGTTAATAGTTAATACAACCTGTAAGGACAAAAAAGAACCTTTAATTGCTGCTAGAATCACCACCATCTCGAATCTTGCCAAAAAAAGTTAACCAACTCAACAATTGAATTAGTAATGCTCGTGAATTCTGTGGCAAAGGAAGAAACTCCTAAAAAGTCAAAGTTGCAGAGCAATAGGAAGTCAAGCAGCTCAAGATTGGTGACAATATCAGTTGATTCAGAACCCATCAACAATTTTATAGCTAAAAGCAAACAAGGAAGGAACTTGATGTATTTAACTTTAGTTATTAAGAAGTTGTTGGAAAAAATTAATGGTTTTATTTAGTGGTACATTTCTCAAGCCCCTGTTCTACATACAACCTAGAAGCACAAAAAAAGACTCGTGATTGTTGTTATGTGTTAATCTACTTTCATATTTATTGTGTCTGGAGGTTGTGATGAAGAGGTTAATTAGAGAAACCAAAACAAGTTTCAACTTTCAAATGTTGTAGGTATTGCATTATCTTTCTATTTAGTGTCTATTGTTCTATGGTTTTTACACGTACAAGTAAGGAATGTGATTTTAATCCAAGCGAAAAGTTTTCATATTATGGTTGAAATTATAGACTGACTTTGTGCTGCGTTTTTTCAAGTTAAATTTGGATTTTAGGTGACAATTCATGCCCCTAAACATATAGGTCGATCTAATTGGATAACATCTTCCGTCTTGGTGTCCAGTCCTCCAGAGAAACCCGAAGCACAAAATAGTTAGAAAGTAATAGCCTGAGTAGTCATTGAATCTTATACTTAAACAATGGTCGTCGAGACTAATCTATTTTAACAAACATTAAGCATTAAGAAACTTTAAGAACTCATAACTTGTAGTCCTTCATACTCATTTGCTGCCTTTGTATAGACCCTTTAAGATGCACCCATCCAAACAAATAACTTTCCTACATGTATTGATCCACCATATTTCGCACCTCCAAACATAAAAGTCACTGAAGTAATTACTTCGATGGGGCATCATGTTCACATCCATATTCTATGTACTCCCTGAGTTTGATCTCTTTACCTCGTATGCATATTCCCAAATCCCACAATAGTGATCTTTAACCCACCTTGGTACTCATTTGAAGCATATTTCTTTGCTCTCATACACTAATCCACACTCACTTTGCAATTACATTTCCTCTTGATATCTTCCTTCATTGTCCTTTGAATTGTATAAGACTGGCGGATATTTTCTTTAAAAAACAATATGCAATCCAATAATGCTTGACAATGGACCCGAAAACATAGTTTCTTGAACATACTTCTTCAATTTCTTATATCGCACACCCTCCTACACCTTCCTCTTTGGTTTCTTATTTTAGACACCTTAACAACATTCTCACATGGTCAGTTATCTCAAACATCATGTGGTAACCAATCTCAACACCGCAAATGGTTAAACACACTTTCAATTGTACAATATTAAGATTTTGTTACTAAAATATGTTTCGTTGATTTCCAATGGATGGTGGGATTGAATACACATCAACATTTTCTATAGATTTCTAATAATCTGATTGTCATCTTCTTGATATGCACTCAAAAGTTCATTGAAGGTAACGTTGATCTTCTCTTCCTTGCAAAGCAGGTGCAAGAAACGACCATCAAATGTTTCATTGAAGGTAGCCATATATATATATATATATATATATATATATATATATATATATATATATATATATATATATATATATATATATATGTACGACTCTTTAAATATGGGCTTTAAATTAATTCGTTTCACTCGTTTCAAAAATCCTGCTTCAAGTTCAATATTCATAGGAAGAAAGCCGGTTTTCTCAAACTTCATTCCGTTATCTTAAATATACATAAAATTCAACCAAGCATCATTGACTTCAACTAAGCATCATTGACGCAAGAGTGCTATCAAGTATTTATTAAATTATTGTTTCTATATAAATTCATTTATTAAAACATTGACTATTATTATAAATGCTAGTGTTAAACATATCTGTACCAATATAGCACCCACATTACATTCACAATTTAGATGAATATCCACACACTTTTACTCAACTTGAAAATTATGAACGTTATAAATGTTACCATTGTAACATATCTACATGGTTTTTAATATCTCTACATATACACATACAATTTATATGAATATCGACACGGTTTTTTCCTCAATTTGAATTTCGTTTACCGTTGTAAAATGTCACAGTTGTAAATAGATTGTTTGATTTTCAATATCTTTACATTTCCACATACAATTTAGATGAATTTCCACCCTCTTCCTCAAATTGAAAAATATGATAGTTATAAATATTATCGGTGTAACTTAATATCTTTATATTTAAACACACAATTTTTATGAATATCCGCTCATTTTTTTTAATTTAAAAAAATATGACCGTTATAAAATGTTACCGTTGTAACTTGATTTTTTGAATTCCGTTATATTTACATTTACA